ACTTGTCAGCTATTAATGTCAGCCTCTAAATAACAAACAGATGTCAGTATACCTGCCACCTCTGGTCAACTCGTGGTAGCCACATGGGCATGGAGATTCATGTCTATGGAAAGGACATGGTATTTCAGTCACCCATGTCTGCTGCCAGCCCGGGTTACAGGAGTGGCAGCACAATTCCCAGTCTTTTTTTGAATTTTTTTTTTTTTTGTAGAGACAGGGTCTTTTTTATTTATTATTATTATTTATTATTTTTTTAAATTGCATTTTAGGTTTTGGGGCACATGTGAAGAACATGCAAGATTGTTGCATAGGTACACACGTGGCAGTGTGATTTGCTGCCTTCCTCCCCTTCACCTATATCTGGCATTTCTCCCCATGCTATCTCTCCCCACCTCCCCACCCCACACTGTCCCTCCCCTATTTCCCCCCAACAGACCCCAGTGTGTGATGCTCCCCTGCCTGTGTCCATGTGTTCTCATTGTTCAACATCCACCCGTGAGTGAGAACATGCAGTGTTTGATTTTCTGCTCTTGTGTCAGTTTGCTGAGAATGATGGTTTCCAGGTTCATCCATGTCCCTACAAAGGACATGAACTCATCGTTTTTGATGGCTGCATAATATTCCATGGTGTATATGTGCCACATTTTCCCGAGACAGGATCTTACTATCTTGCCCAGGCTGGAGTGCAATGGCGCAATCACAGTTCACTGCAGCCTTGAACTCCTGGGCTCAAGTGATCCTCCTGTCTCAGTTTCCCAAGTAGCTGAGACTACAGGCATGCACCACCATGCCTGGCTAATTTTCTAAACAATGTTTTGTGGAGATAAGGTCTCACTATGTTGCCCAGACTGGTCTCAAACTCCTGGCTTCAAACCATTCTCCTGCCTTGGCCTCCCAAAGTGCTGAGCCACTGTGCCCAGCCTTGACTCCTTGTCTTTCTGACCCTGCTCCAATCTCAGGGGAACTCGGCTCTTTTTCATCATGCCAACCTAAGGCCAGGGATAGAATGCCATTTTGGAGTCTGTGGGATTCTATAGGGCAAGGTCACCAAGAGTCGGATCTTTTAGACAAAGGATACAAAATTCCCGTAAAGACAGAGCATAAACTCTGTAGTGAATATGAAATCTATGCCTTGAGGCCATTTACTGAGACCCCAGGGTCACACCTTCTGTCAGTGGGAAATCTGAGAGCTCGAGTTTAAATGAGAAAGGTTCCTTTCTTTTTATTCCCCTGTCTGGGCCTGAGGGCCAGGGTGATGATGTGGCCATGAGGAGAGAGCCAGGGAGGTGCCTGCTCAGCTTTCAGACTAGACTTTGAGTGAGGGCTAAAAGCAGAACTGGGCCAGCAAGCAGGCAGGGCACCAGCAAAGGGGCTTGAAGCCACAGCCACAGAAACACCAGAGGATGCTCATGTGCGTGGAAGCTTCTGTGCTGCAGGGGCCTGTTAGAACCTGCAGCTCTAGGGGTGAGTGATGGGCTGGGGATTCTTGGGTTATGTATCCCAACTTAATCCTTCCCATCCATGATACTGTTTTCTTTTTTCCCTCTGAATGTGTTTTTCCAGGGGCTTCCACCTGGGGAGACCTGAAGCATCACAGTCACTGGGACACAGCAGGGACCCTTCTTGGAATGCCCAGACCTAGAGACACGTGTTGGAGAACACACAGCGGAAATCTACAGAGCACTGAGGCCCATAAAGAAGCGGAAGGAACGGACTCTGGAAGGGAATGGTTTACAAGGGCGGTTTGTGAAACACCTATTAAGTGCCAGGCGCTCACACACATCAGCTATGAGTCCCACAGCAACCCAGCAAGGAAGGTGATGCTGGCCTAAGTGAAAAACGTGGAAGCTGAGTCTCAGAGGCACTGAGGAGCATCCAGGAGGTAACTAACACAGCCGTGGGGCTTACAGAGGGGCCAACACATGGATCATCTCCCTCCGTGGAACTGCTCATCACAAATTAATCGTAGCTACATTTTGTTTTAATGCTACATTTTTTTTCTGGCCACATATAAGGGCCAGAAATTTGCTATAATTTTCCACATTTATTTGGGTTAGAGACATACTATGCTCTATGCATTCATTACTTGTGTGCTGTTCAAAAATCATAAATAGTATTACTGGGAAAACTGATTGGGAAAAAATCCTCTGGAACAAGAATATATGAATGCAACCATCACACAGAATAAATAAACAGCTTACCCACAATTTCTCTTTTGGATAAATGTAAAGTCATTAGTTTCAGAACAGTTTTCCCAAGGAGGTAAGATTTTTCTTTTTCTCCCTAATGCCTCCCCAAAGCTGGTACATATCTTATGCTGAGCCATCCCTGAAAAGGACTTTATATCAAAGACATTTTTCCCTGTGCAACCCCATACAATAGGGACACATAGTTGAGAAGAACATAGGCTTCAAAACCAGGCGACCCCTGCTCAGAATCCTAATTTTCCTATCTCAGTTAACCTTGGGTCATCCAAGTTGCTTCTCTGATCATTAATTTCCTCATCAGGAAAATGGGGTTAATAATCCTGAGAATTAAATGATGGAATGCATAAAATGCTTAGTATGGACTAACTGCTTAATAAATGGAACTGATTTTTAGGTATTGATGGTTCCGGGGTTTTACAAATAAGAGGACTGAAGATCAAAAAGGTGGCTTGCTTAAGGTCATCTGACTAGTGGTAGAGCCGGGACTAAATGCTGATCTGTCCCCCACAAATGCCAGCGTTCCTTCTCCACTGATGTTCACAAGGCCACTGATATTCACAGTGCTGATCTTGAGTTGTCAAGAAACACACAAATTCCCCATCACTGATTCCCAGCAGCCGATTGTAGGAAGCATGTAATGTGCTTTAGAAATACTTCCATCCAACACAGTTCTAAATGTTGTCACCTTTAATAGCAAATGCAAGTTATCTAAAAAGTGCCCTGACATGGACCAGTTCCAGAGCCTTCAATGCCCAAATTCAGAGTCACTATGATCTTCTTCTGCATCAGAACTTGTTAGCAACATTAACCTCGGTCTTGGAACCATGTCAGTTTTATAAACATTGTTCTTTCTATTGTGGAAAGACAGGATAGTTTAAGGACATTTTCCTTGATATCATTTCATATTCTATTTAAGTCATGAAAATAGGATTGAATTTGTGTAATATTACACACAAACTACCTTAGGGTTGTGGATTTTTAGTCTCTGCTATAATAGTGTGTCCTGATAGTGTAAATATTTGTTGGAGAAAGATTAACCAGCAAGGCAGTATATTCAGAATGGCTGCCTCTTTCATTAACCCTGTAAGGAAAGAAACTGGAAAGATACGCAATTCTGTAAATCACAATTTATAAGCAATTAAACGTCTAGTTGAGCTAGTTTCTTTTTTCAGGTCCATTAAAGTTTACATTATTTTTAAATAACTCCTTTTCTGCCATAACATTATTTTAAATCTGCATCTTAAACATGTAAAGGCCAGAAATTTGCTGTAAGTTTCCACATTTATTTGGGTTAGAGACACATTATACTCTATGCATTCATTACTTGTGTGCTGTTCAAAAATCATAAATAGTATTACTGGGAAAACTGATTGGGAAATGAATCCTTTGGAACAAGAATATATGAATGCAATGATTACACAGAATAAATAAACAGCTTACCCACAATTTCTCTTCTGGATAAATATAAAGTCATTAGTTTCAGAACAGTTTTCCCAAGGAGGTAAGATTTTGCTTTTTTTCCCTCATGCCTCCTCAAAGCTGGTACATATCTTATGCTGAGCCATCCCTGAAAAGGTAGCTTTAATCAAAACCCGATCTATAAATCACCTTTAAAGCCTTGGATGTTTGGCTTTATGAGGTCTTAAACACACTTTGCAGGTCCACAAAGATCGTAAATCAGATTAGTGCAGTTCCTCTCGAGAGGTGGCTTAATGAGGGAGAGGGAAGTACAGAAGACTCCAACTCCAGAGCCGGGGACTACACCCCCTAGTTCACAGATATATATTTTATGGAAAAGGGTAAGATTATATCACAGTGTCAAGCCAGAAACGCAAATCCTCTGATCAGAATCAGGGTAGGACTGAGAAGAACCTGCTGGCCACGCACCAGTGGGTTAGAATGGAACTTCTCCCCGACGAAGGCAGCACGGGCTTCGATGGGGTATTTTTCCTGGCTCCCGAACCACGTCTGACAGGCCACTGCGGCCCTATTGCACCGCCAATGTGGACTTTCTAACAGTTTCCTTTCCAGAACTTTCCCTGCGGGCATGGAGAAGCTTACCAAATTCGGATCCATAATACTTGCCCCAAAATTAGAACCCAGGATCATTCTCCACGCCTCCACTGATAGGGAAAAATACACGAAAGCGTGGATTAGAGCCTTTGCCACGGATGAGAACAAAATCCAACGGAGACTTGACGTTTCTTTAGAAAGGCTGCCACCGACTGAACTTTTCCCAGAAGTTACATCAGTGCTGACCTTCATCAGTTACATTGAGAAAAAATCTGTTCTATGTGACCGTCGGCCACAGGAGACAGAATTTTAGGCACCGAACTTGACGAGAAGGACTTTCTAACTTTGATTCAGTTTCAACTCACACTCCCCCAGCCCCTCCGTGGCAGAGAGGCCTGGCCCCCCGAATGGGGAGGTGAGGCTCGGAGCAGAGGGGGGTGCCCGGGCGCAGCGCACACTCTGGCGTCTGAGCCCCGAGCCCCGAGCCCCGCAGTGGACTTCCGTGCGGCGCGCACCGAGGCTGCGGTCACCTGCCGCGCGGTCCGGCCCTCCCCGCCGACCCAGGCGCACCCCGGGCGCAGCGCCGCCGAAGAGGGCACCGGCCCAGGTGTCCACGCGGGTCCCATCGCGGCCGCGGCGGGGCTCGGCCCGGCTTCAGCGAGCAGATCCTTCCACCCGCGGCCGGTGACCCGCGCGACGCCCCGGCGGCACCGACGATGCTGCGCCCCGGCCCCGCAGGCGCGGCGGCTGCGGGTCCCAGGAAGCTCCCGCGCTCCTTACCTGGCGAGGCCCGTCCGGGGCGCTCCCAGGGGTCCTGGCTGGGCCGGCGCCGAGCCCAGGGCGACCGCCGATCGCTGGCTGCGGCGTTTCCAGTCTCTGGGGCGCGGGCGCGCGGGAGCGGCCTGGGCTGCGGCTGAGTCAGCGCCCCGGCGGCGCGGGCGAGCCCGGGCCAGCAGCCGAGGGGGGCTCTGAGCGGAGCCGCGGCCGCCCTGGCATTTTAAAGGCGAGGCAGCTGGACGCTGTTCAAGCGGAAACGCAGAGAGAAACTTCAGCCCCCGGGGCAGAGCGTTGGCAGCGCGGGGAGGGGGCCCGCGAGCTCCTGGCAGGCGCGCAGACCAATCTGGGCTCTTCTAATACGCTCTGCAAATGCATTTTTTTCAGAGATTCCCTTTACAGTTTAAAAAAAAAAAAATCCCCTAAACAACAACGACAACCAAACCCTCTCAAAGCCTCCTCCTGCAGTAGGCTTAGAGCAAGCCGAGCGTTTCCGTGAAAGTTAGGGGAAGAGAAGGGCGGGTTTGGGAAGTCTGGTCAATGCAATTAGACAAGAGAAGGAAATAAGGTGTAAAAATACTGGAGTTGTGCCTTTGTTAAAAATAAATATATTATACGTGTGTGTGTATATGTATCTATATAATATGTATGTGAGGCGGGAGAAAAATGATTATTAGTATTTGCAGCGGATGTGACCGTGTTGTTGGAAAGTGCTAACTGAAGACTGGGTGAAATAATAGCCTTTCCAAATAATTGGCAGGCTACAAAATAAACATACCAAATTTACAGTGTTCTTGGGCACTTACTAACCAGTTTGAAAGGCAAATAAAAATGCCATTCTCACTAATAGCCAAACCGCAGTAGCTAGGAAAATAAACTTATCATGAAATGTGGAGGAAAAAAAAAAAAACCCTTCTCTACTGGGGGACTGGAGAAGACTTGAATCTAATATGACACACGCCTTATTCTTGGACAAGAAGAAGTAAATATTGTAATCCTATCATGTCCTCTTTATCTGTCAATTCAGTGCCATCTCTATCAAGTTCCAAGTAGAATTTTCTTTTTAACGTGACATGATTCTTGGCGTCATAAGGAAGAATAAAGAGTACAGGCAACAAAATATTGACAAGCAAGAGCATAAGGGAAGCTAACCCTGCTGGATAGTAAAAAGAAGAAATGCTTGCACGCATAAATGAATAAATACATAAATAAAATACACTGAGTGCTCACTATTTAAGGACGTGCTCTACATGGATTAATGCATTTTCTTCATCACAGCAACCCCGAGATGCAGGTACTGATGCTGCTGCCATTTTCAGATAGCAAATGGAAGCCCAATAGGGTATCACGCCCAGGGTCACACAGGTAGGCATGGGGGATCAGGGGCTTGATGCAGGCCTTCTGCCTGCAGAAACTATGCATCTATGTGCTTAAACTCTATCACATGACACCTCCTGTGTCACAAAGCAAAAATCAGCACGTTACTGGTCCAGACATGACTGTTCAATGGAATGGGATGAAGAGCCCAGAATTAGAATTACATGAGAAACCGTGGTGTTTAAGGGGCACTTCATGTTAATCAGATAAACTTTTTTTTTTTTTTTGAGACAGAGTTTCACTCTTGTTGCCCAGGTTGGAGTGCAATGATATGATCTCTGCTCACTGCAACATCTGCCTTCCAGGTTCAAGTGATTCTCCTGCCTCAGCCTCCTGAGTACCTGGGATTACAGGCATGCGCCACCATACCTGGCTAGTTTTTGTATTTTAGTAGAGATGGGGTTTCACCCTGTTGGCCAGGCTGGTCTCAAACTCCTGACCTCAGGTGATCCACCCATGTCAGCCTCCCGGAGTGCTGCGATTACAAACATGAGTCACCATGCCTGGCCCAGATAGATAGATTTTTAAATAAATGATATTGGAATAACTAGAGAGTCATTAGTGAAAGTGTGGGCAGCTCATTTTCTGCTTAATTCCCCAGACCAAAACAAATTCCAGATCCATCATAAATTGAACATAAAAAAAACTGAAGCCAAAAAATAATTAGATGAATGTATATATAAAGTCATAAACCTGGAATTCCAAAAGTCTTTGAAAATGTAGCATAAAACCATAAAGGAAGAGACTGATATGTATGATTACAAAAGATCCAAATAAATGTCTTTATGGAAAAAGATACCATAAACAGAATTCAAAAATAAACAACAAACCAGAAAAATATTTGCTATACATATGAGATGGGGGTTGCTAAGTTTAACAAATAGAAATATAAACTCAGTTGAATTTGAATTCAGATAGACTATGAATAATTGTTCAGTATGGTTATGTCCCATTCGTCGTTCGACTGAAAGTCAAATTTAACTTGATGTCCTGCATTTTATCTGGCAGGCTTAATATATCAGCAACATGTTAATGTAGATATCTTACAATGAACTCTCATAATCATTTTTTAAAAGGTGGTCACCCCAATAGAACAAAGAATAAGAGAGATGAGCAGGCAGTTCACACAGAAAATATATATATATAAATGTCCCAAACAAGAGAAAACAACCATCCACTCTAGCACTGAAATAAATGCAAATTAAAAAGTTCAGAGAATTGTACTTTTTACCTACTAGCTGGCACATTTTAAAATATTGTACAAATTCAGTGCCACTGAAGGGTTTGGACAAATGCGCATTCTCTCTCATTGTTTATGAAAATGTGATTTAGTACAATATTTCTAGAAAGCAGTTTGAGGACAAATATCAAATTGAATACTTTATGTACAGGCAAAACCATATTCAATCCATTAGCCAAAGACATGAGCTGACAAGCAGATAAAATATGTATAGCAGATGTTTGTTGCTTTGCAGAAATAATTTATAATAGTAAAAAATTGGAAACAACTCAAATATCTGTCAATAGGGGATTAGTTATTGAAATATAATTAAATCATAATAGTATGCAATGAGACCTACTGTGATGTTTGATGCAGGCATTATTCTTTTTTTCTTTGTTTTTGAGACAGGGTCTCCCTCTATCACCCAGGCTGGAGAGCAATGGTGTGATCTCAGCTCACTGCAGCCTGCATTTCTTGGACTTAAACGATCCTTCCACTTCGACTTTCCAAGTAGCTCGGACTACAGGTGCACACCACCATGTCTGGCTGATTTTTGCTTTGTTTTGCTTTGTTTGCTTGTGTTTGGTAGAGACAGGGTTTTGCCATGTTGCCCGGGCTGGTCTCAAACTCTTGAGCTCAAGTGATCCTCCCACCTCAGGCTCCCAAAGTGCTGGGATTACTGGCATGAGTCACAGAGCTGGGCTGATGCAGGAATTATTCTAAGCACTTCCTGTGTGTTAACTTGTTTAAACAACAGAAAAAAAAAATAAACTAAATAAAACAGAAACACTGTAACAAGGTACTACTAGCATCACCATTTCACAGAAGACAAAACACACAGAAAACTAAGCAACTTTCTCAAGGTCTTACAGCTGGAATATTGAAGACTAGGATTTAAATCAAGGTGGTGTTGTTCCAGAGACCACACACTCAGCTGTCATGCAATGTCGTGTACTGAATGGAATCTCATGATAGCATGTCAGAATAAATGCGCCCATAGGGTGGAATACCACATAGGTGTTAAAAATGACAATGTAACCCTGTACTTACTGACACAGAAGATATTTATGACATACTGTTAAGTAAAAAAGAAAATGTCAAAACCACATACATGTATGATTCCATTTCCGTAATGTGGAATCTATGTATATGTGGTTACGTGTGTGTATAGACAGAAATGTCTGGATGAATAATCACTGGCATATTAAACAGCCTTTCTTTCTGAGTGATGGGATTTCAGGTGAGTTTTTGTTTTCTTCACTGTACTTTTCTAAATGACTTAGGTTTTGATATTATGAATATACGTTTTTTAAATATTGAGGAAAACAAAATCCTGGTTGGGGGGGGAATTCCTATTTTAGGATACCATGCTCTAGTGGCTTTATATTCGAGGTTTTCTGCAAGCTTGTTACCTCTCCCTTCAAATTCTGACAGCTGAGATAAATACCTAGTTAGGACTCAGCCTGGAGGATCATGGGGGTTCTTAGCAGCAGGTAAATCCCAAGCATCCCCATGTACCTCCTGCTGCCTTTGGCTGAATGAGGAAGATCATGCACTGGACTATGTAAGTGAATCTTGCTGTTCTCAACAAGGGTGCTGAGGACACGGGCAGGTCCCACCCATTCTCTGTGACTAGTGTCTTATCTGTCAAGTTAGATGTGTAAGTTAGGGATCTAACTGCAAAATACAGAAATTATTTAATACAACTTATACTGGTTTAACAAATAAGGCATATTCTCTGGAAGGTTTAGAGAATCCAGAGAGCAAGACAACCGAGGTGCAGTCAGAACCAAGCTGCAATTTACTCTGAGGAACTGCTGTCATCATCACCTCTAATGCTTCTCCCTCTGCTCCCTGTTTCTGCTTCTGTCTGGCATCAGTTTCATCTGTTTAATTCTACACTGGTTTTCTCTCCTTCTCAATCCCTGAAAATATGGCAGTCCCCTGAGTTTTGTGTAACATCTTCAGTCACCCAAAGAAATTAATTTTCCTGGTCCTAAGTTTAAAATTTTCAGACCAGGGCTTCATCAACCCAGCTTAGGGGAGGAATAGCTATTCACTGGGGCATCAGTCAGAACAGGCTGGGTTACGCTGTAGTAACAAACAGCTCCTAAATCGCAGCGCCTTACAGCAACTGAGTTTACCTCTTGCACGTGCTCTGTGTTCATTGTGGGCTGGCGGTGGCTTGTCTCCATGTTACAAAATTTACCTGGGAAGAAGTAATTTACAGTTGGAGCATTTTGGTCTCATGGCAGAGGAAAAGAGAAGACACAGGAAACCATGGGCTAGCTCTTAAAACTGCTGCCAGAGTAAGTCATGTGGCCAAGTCTAATACCAGTGGGACAGTCTACAGCTCTGCCAGAGTGACCATACAGCCAACAATATAGCCTCACACACCAGTAAGCCGGTCAAGGGGATGGGATCCTAACAGAATATGACATTGATCACCACCAGCACTGGATGGAACAGATAGGGTTGCCATGATCTGATATAACTCTGCAGAAAAAGGGAGTAGGAACACTGAGGAGACAATGACATCAATCTTGACCAGAGTGATCATTCGGTTAGGACTCTGTGAAACTGCAAGGAGGCTAAACAGTTCCTGGGATCAGTTGGGATACCCTGGAAAGAAAGCTGGACTTGGAGTCAGACAGCCCTGGGTTCGAGTT